AGTAGTAGTAGTAGTAGTATTATCTAGGGCTAGGGAACCATGACGGTGTTAACCACAGTGCTGCCACTGGAGAGCGAGAAAGGCAGCATAGAGAACAAGGGGCAGTACTGTGCTTGTGCTGGTCTTATCTCCTACCAGCATGGTGGCTTGAAAGTACTGTCAGCATTGCTATGCTTTTACCTTTACATAGCCGTGTAACTGCTGCAGTTTACCTCCTACTTTGCATCGCAGGCGCATTCATAGGTTGGTGGATGCAGGTGCATGAGCAGAGGACAAAAGAGCCGCCTGTGCCGCCCAGCAGGGGTTGCTGAACTTTTCTCGTGTTTGGGGCTTCAGGCTTGCAGTGTTCAGGAATGGGGTTTCCGGGTTCAGGGCAGAGGCGGCAAGCTCACTTTTATACACCAAGTTTCTTGCAAGGTCAGATGAGCAGCTATGTACGAAGTGGCCCATGTCCACTGATTTGTTTACGAAGCTCTTGCAATCCATAAGGCTGGCTTTGGAGGCTTCAAAAAGCATCGCTTTGAATGGAAAAAGACTGTTTAGGGTTTGGGCCTATAGGGCTTAGGGTTTAGGCATTGTGTCCATGAAAAATCGCCCATATCTCGAAGCCAGACAGACCAACCCCCGTGTCTCTCACAAGGCAGCAGGATGTATAACAGAAGCATTCCACAACAACACGGGGTTTGGGTGCTGGTGCCTTTTAGGCACGTCAGGATAATGTAAGCATCCAAAATCAGAGTCTCCAACTTTCGCTAGAGTTGTTCCTCGATGTGAACCGAGGCAGCAGAGAGGGTCTGAATTGTGAGATACAGCTGGCCTTGAACATGGCCATGGCAAGGCAAATTGGAAAGCCTTACCGCTCTGCGCACGACGCTTTTGTACATGGGTGTCCAGATTGAGCGTCAAAATCGGCGCTGAGCTACAAGATTTCACAAGCTGCTAGCCGGGCCAGCTGAGTATATGTACAAGCTGCAGGATCAAGGCTGCGGGCGCACGTCAAGAATCTCAATTCCAACTGTCAAGCTTCCGTTGCTCTTGTCCACCTGGGAGTTTGCGAGCATGAATGAGCCCAACACAGGTCTCAGTACTGTACGTAAGGATCTCATTTGTACAAGCCCGCCCGAACCCTTAGCCCTGAAACCCAGAACCCTTAAAAATAAAGCCTCAACCCGAGCCATCAACCCTTTCCAAACAAATCTCAGCCATGACAAACCCTTTTCGCAACTCTTTTACCAGCCCTTATAGCCACCCTTGCCGTAACCCCATAGCAACCGCTGGCAGCAAATTATAGCAACCGGGATCGCAACCCTGAACCTCTAGACCCTAAATCACAGGGTTGATAAGGGACCCCTGTGGAGGGGACCCCTGTGAGTTGCAGTTTGCAAGTGGGCCCAATGGGGCCTAATGGGGAGTAATGGGCTTCCCGTTTGCCCCCATTA